TTTCAAGGCTGCTTTCATTCAAACGGGAATTTATACCATCAAATCTCCTGATCCTCAGGCCATAACACTTGGACTGGAACTATGCATCAGGTCTTCTGGTTCTCAAGCTTGCTGACTGAAGATCCTAGGACTTCTCTGTCTTTACAGTTGTATGAGCCAATTCCATTATATATATGTGGGTGCTTCAAAAAGTTTGTGGAAAAGTAGGATTAAAAGGTAATATGAATATTTCCATAAACTTTTTGAAGACTTCTCTTGAACATGTATGTGTGTGTGTGTGTGTGTATGTATATATACACATAAATATAATAACATTATATATATATATATATTTATAATAAGAAATTGGCTCACATGATTGGTTCTGTTTCTCTGGAGAACTAATCAAAAATCATATATATTCACATATGTCTTCTCCTAGTGCTCTCTCTGTGTGTGTGTAGCTGTCTAGCTGCATATTTTATATTTAACTCTGACCTCTAAAATTTATTTTGACATATAATGAAATATGAGAATATGATCATAAATCACAGCCTGACAACTGCTGAATTCAGCCAGCCCCTCTGAATTTAACAAGCAGAAACATTGTTTTTTTCTGTAAATATTTTCAAAATTAAACATAAATCCTCTTTTTATTTTTTGCAGTGCAGCTACACTCCAGTAGAAATAGTCTCTCTCAATCTTTATTATTTTAAACACAGATTTCAGTCAATTATCATACTTGCCTGAGTCCTGACCTTAATAGAGTGTTTTCTCAAATTGCTAGTTATTTTCTCCATACCATGCTCAAATAATTCTTGTTCTTTAATTCATATTAAGTTCTTATAAATAACAATTTTTGCTTATGAGCTATTTATTGTTTCATTATTTGTTCTTATACTAGTGCTAGTACCACACTGTTTAAAATACAGACTTAAATATGTTTCATTATAAGGGAGGATTACTGTCCTTTCAATAATCTTCTCTATCACCCTTTTATTGCTGATAAAATTTCTTCCACTTCAAAATTAACCGTAAAATCTTTTTTAAGCCCACCCTGCAAAAAATAAATTTTGATTTTGACAACATATGTGGGTGTGAATAGTGCAATGAAGAGTATCTTTGGTTATATTTTAATGCATTTAAAAAGTGTCTATAACAAAGATACATAATTATTTAACACAGTTAGAAATATTAGAAGTTCTCTCTTAGAGGGAACCATAGAGGTGAATACACACATTCAGCTCACATCTCCATAAAAACTCCACATAAAGTATAAAAACAAATTAAATCATAATCAGCAAACACTACAATATGAAAATAATCAGTGGGAGAAGGTTTTCAAAAAAGTGAAGGATGGAAACAGATGAAATTATTGATGTGTAAGATGGAACAGAAAGAGAGGACTTCATAGCCTGGAATGCAGTCAGGATGCCCAGAGGTTGCTCTCCAGTACCCCACAGCACCCTTTGACTCAATGTTTGCGGGTATGGTGGATGGGAGAGAGACGTGTGGTTGAATGCAAGGTGAGTAATTAAAATTTTGTACATGAAATATCCCCTCAAATTTTCTTACTGATTCTGTCTGGGTAGAAGACAAAACTTTCTGTGTTTACCTCCACGGATAAGAGAGCAAAGATCTCTTCCCCAAATAAATTGAACTAACATCCACATGTCAGGCTTTTAAAAGTGCCAGTTCTGCTGCTGGCATGCTGATAATAAATGGAGATGCAGCAGCAATTTTGCAACCATGTGGACCAAAGTTACACACTAAGCATGGGGGTGTACAAAGACAGAAATAATGTAGGTCTGTGATGGCATTCTTTCAAAGCCCTGGACCACCTACCTCGGGATTCCTTATTATGTGGAAAATTAAAGTTCT